GAAGAAGATAATAAAAGAAATAAATAATAAATATAAATCAAATGATAATAATAAAAACAAATAATAAATAAATGATAAATAAATATTAATAATCAAAAATATAATAATATTAAAAATTAAAATTAAATCAAATCAAAATAATCAAAACAAGAAAACAAGAAATGAAAATATGAATCAAATGAAAATAAATAAAATAGAAAAATAAGAAATAAAGAAATAATAAGAATAAAGAAGAAGAATAAGAAAGAAAAGAAATATAAATAATATTAATAATAAATTAAAATAAAATAAGAAATGAAAAATATAATAATAATAATATAATAGTAATAAAAATATGAAAGAATAAAGATAATAATAATAATATAAAATGATAATATTAAAGAATTTATTAAAATATAAAATAAATTCATTTTAATATAAATCATTTAAATAATTAAACAATAAAATTATTTTATAATAATGAAATATTTCATAAATATAATAAAAATGAACAAATAAAAGAATAGAGAAAAATAAATAAAATAATAATAAATAATAAATTAAAATAATCAATATATTAAAAAGAAAAAAAGATAATAAATAATACATATAAATAAAAATTATAAAAATAAAAATGAATAAAATAAATTGCATAAATAAAATAATGTTAAATAATTTGCATCAATAAATTAAACACTTTTTTATTGCATATTTCAAATTTCTATAATAAAAAATACATCCATTATTCATCATTATTTTCATCATTATTATCACTTTTTGAATTATTCATTTTTATCTTCTTTCATTTTATAATCTCAACATTCTACTTTTATTCTTTTCATCTTCTTTTACTTCTTAATTTCACTTTTTTCTTTTATATCATTCTTTCTCTTCCTTTTTCTCTTATTTGCTTTTTTCGTTGCCGATTCAAATACTACTCTTGTATTAATTGATTTATCTTTTAAACAATTTAGTATTGTCTCAGTATATAATCAGAATGATATGAGAGTAACTGTTGAATTAAAATCTCCATAAGAATAAATGATGAAAATAAAAAAGTATTAACACCTCATATTTTCATCAATTAACGATATTACCAAAAAATGATTTAATTTACATGACAAAATAGATTAAATGAAAATCAAAAAATAATAATAAATTTATAACACATAATATCAAATAATCATAAAAAGAATAAAAGAATATGAAATAAAAGAATAATGAATGTAATCATTTCATTTTATTTTTTAATTGAAAAAAAAAATATTGTAAAGTATTATAAAAGATAATAAAATAAAAGAAAAAGAACTTAATAATAAATATGAGATTAAATAAAATAACAAATTTATTAAATGTGATATATAACGTTAAATTAAATAATGTTATTAAATAAAAAGTAGTTAATTAAGTATTAATAGAAATATCTTCTATTGTTCCTTGCTCAGGGGAGACTAATCCCGTCCCTGAGCTTAAAAGTATTTGTTCTTCAACTATTGCCTTATTCTTTGCTTCTAGTTGTTGAACGGTGAGAATTTTCTTTTCTCATTTTTGATGTGGAATAGTGTATTTTAGACATCCCTTATTTAAATATTCATTATTTAATTTCTTTTTAATTTCGATGGGTTTAAATTTCTTCTTCTTTGGGTTTAAATTTCTTCTTCTTTGGGTTTAGACTTCTTCTTTTTTATTTTCTTATTTTAAGGAGAGTATATAATTACCACTGTATTGCTTTGGGCTAATATTCTTTTAGCCTCAACCACTTGACCCTTTTCTTTTGTTAATCTTTCTTATATTATCAATTATACTTGTATTCTAACAAGTAATAATAACATCTTTATAAATACCCATTCGTTTATTGTCAATGATATTCTGTCATTGTACATAATAAACACTGCTATTCTTGCAGTACCAGGTAAGACGTTTTTCTAACCAAACGCAACGCCATAACCAGTCCATGACTGGGGGGAATCGAAGGATGGAAATATTTTAGGGTTCTGTGTGGTGTCTCTGACGTGCTACCTTCGAATCCAATATGTTTTAAATGTTTTAAATAAATAAAAATGTATTAAATTATCATTTATTATTGAATAAATGATAATGTCAATAATTATTTTAAGAATGAACATTATCATTAATCAGTTATTTTATTAAATAAAATTGAATATGTTCATTTATATATTATTTATTCATTTGATATTATTTATTATATTTCTATTTCATTTTTATTTTAATTTAAATGATAATTATTTATTTAATTTAATGTAATCAAATTCTATCATTATTTAATTTAGATTATTGTTTATATTTTTATCATAACTAAAAGTGATTGTAATGATGAATTTAAATATTAATATATCACTTATTCATATAATGAATTATATTATTATTATGATATAATTCTATTTAATTTAAAATAAATATATTTGAAATATTATAATTAAATATGATAATATTAAGAAATAATGAATAGATATTAGAAATAATAATAATAATAATAATAATAATAATAATAATAATAATAATAATAATAAAGGTGATATCATTAATTAAATACATTTCTTTATTATGATTATAAATATAAAATAATAAATAAAATGTTAATATAAATGAAATATATATCAATTAATATTTAATCAAATAAAAAGTGATGATGTAATAATTAAACAATGAAGATAATATTAAAGAAAGAATATAAAGGATAAAGAGAATAAAGATAAAGAATATAAGAGAAGATAATAATAATAAGAATAAGAGAAAATAAATAAAATAAAATAATAATATAAATAAAAATAAATTATTATTTTAATTTTATTATTTATTATATTATTATTATTATATTTAACTATTTCATTATTAATTTCATTATAATTTATTATTAATATTTAAACTATTTCATTATATTATTTAATTTTATTATTATTTCTTTATATTCTATATTTTTCATACTTATCACATTATTATATCATTAATTATATAATAATCTTGTACTTTCTCATTTCTATGCACAGCACCACTTTTCTTCATTTTCTATATACCTTTATTATTTTCAATAATTAGAATGAAAGAGTTAATAAACTAAAAAAGAAGGAATTTCATAAACAAATAATGATGAATCAATGTTGTGAAAAAGATAATTAAACATTAACTATTAAAAGATGAAGAAAATAAATGAAAACAACTACTAGAAAAAGACCGTCTGAAGGTGGTGTCGATAGAGTCAATACCTTAATTAAAATAACTGGTATCAAAAAAGGTGAAAATGACTACAGGAAAAGAGAGTAAATAATAAAAGAAATTTTGAAAATCTTAAAAGGTTAATTACAAAAGTCATAACTCCTTTTTTGACAATGAATATTTTAAATAAGAAATACTTTTGTTATATCTTTTAATGTTAAATTTATCCTTTAATCCTTTATTGTACTTTGTTCCATGCACGATTTTCTCATCTCATAAACACGCTTATTTCTAAGGTTTTCAGTAGTAACTCTTCTTCGAGAGAAGTATGTTTTTCTTTTATAATGTTTTCAAAGAAAATAAAGTAATAAATTTATATGATTCAAATAAAAGTTATTAGAAAGAAATGTAGCTTTGTTTTATTCTTTGTTTATAAAGTATTATTTGAACAATTAACTTAGACATATAACGTATCATTTTAATTTAATTCAGTGTACAATAATTTCTGAATCTTTAATTACACAAAATAACGAAAAAACAAAAACTAATGGACTTAATCCCACTCCCACTTTCTGTAGAAAGCGAAACGGATAATTGAAAAAATAGCAGTTAATACATCCAATACAAAAGTGATAATGACTGGAGCTATCCAAGAGAAATTGACAAATGTATTACAAAAAGCTTTATAACCATTATAGTCAGTATCATTACAACTTGATCTTAAAGCGATGCTAAGAGCGAACTGAATAATAGTAATCACAGCAGAAGTTCCTGATATGATAAATACCTTTAAACATAAGTGTCTTTTTGATTTAAAATAAAAAATCATCTTTTTCATAAGAAACAAAAAAATATTTCCGATGAAACGAATTATTGAAAAGAAATCAGACAAACATTAAGAAACATTTTTCGATTTGAAAAGACACACGCAAGCCACATTGTAATCATTAAGAAATTAAGTACTAAAATTGCTAATGCATTAATAATAAGATTAAATATTTGTTCTCCTTCTCGAATAGAAAATGAAAGTTCATAAATATAATACCCACTCAAAGCAACAAAACAGACACCACAAATCATTAACAAAATGTTGAATATGTATTTTAATACTTTCATTTATTTTTTGATAATTTTAAGATGTTCAACAAATAAACTTTAGTTCTATTATTAGTGTTCTAATTTTTTGTTTTTTTAAATGTTAAAATATTAAAAATCAAAAAAAAAAAAAGAAATAACAAAAAATTAATGATGTTTTGATTGAAAGGATTTTCGAATAATTTCAAGCTCTTTAATTATTTGTTCTATCTTTAGTCTATTAGTTGGTTCATCGCACCAACATTCACAAATAAGTTTATAAACATTATCAGGTAAATTGTTTTGTGGTCTTCGATGACCAGAAGCTACAAAAGTAGCAATAACCCAAGGATATTCAAATTCTTGTTTAGGATAAGGATCTTCCCATGTCATAACAGAATAAATACTAATAGCAAATGAATAAATATCAGCAGCTGTTTTATATTTTTTCCGTTTTAATATTTCAGGAGCCATAAAAGAAGGTGTTCCAACACCTTTTGTAAATGTCATATTTGTCATTAATGAATTTATATTTCTAGCACTTCCAAAATCAGTGAGTTTAGCATTAACAGGAATATCATTATCAAGGGAAGTGACTAACATATTATCAGGTTTAATATCACGATGAAGAATACCATTGTTGTGAAGATATTCTATTCCTCTAGCAACATCTAATAACATTTTTATTTTAATATTTTTAGAAAATGATTTTGATGGTTTTGATTCAATCATTTTTTGTACTGATCCATATTTTGCATATTCAGTAACCACACATCTATTGTCTTGAATTATTACTGCTCCATAGAAATGAATAATATAATTACATCTAAATTTTTCTAACATTTCTACTTCTTTTCTAAATTCTATTTCAGAACTACTGTCATTAATTTTTGGTTTCATTCTTTTAATAGCAACACTATTTCCTTTAAACTCACCTTTATAAACAACTCCAAAAGTTCCTTCTCCAATTTTTTTCTTTTGAATGAGTTCATCTGGATCTAATATACATGTCTGTTCAGTTTCAATATTAATATCCACAAAAAAATCCATTTCTTTATTAAATTTGAAACTATATACAGAAAATCTAATTTGTTGAGAGATAGTAGTAGAACAAATAGGTGTAATCTCCATAGTAACTTCTATAGCTTTGTTTTGTCTTAAAAAGACTAAATTTGGTTGAATAGTAAATTGATATTTTTTAGAAGGGATATGAGATGATTGAATCTTAACTTTATGTTTGCCATGATTAGCAATTATTAATTTTAAGGTAGTAGTTTCATTCACTGGAATATATTCATCACCAACTAATGTAAATTTATTGTTTGTTACTAATATACCTGGAAGAACTTCTTGAAAATGTTCTGAGGAGAATAAATCTTTTAGATTTAAAGTATTATCTTGTTTTAGTCTAATTATTTTTTTTGAAATTAAAGTAAGTATGAAATAAATCATAATAACTATTAATATGAATATTGGAATAACAATTAAACTTATCCACCACATAGACTTTCTTTTACAAATATTTCCTTTAATTGTAAAACCTATTGAACATGAAGTACAAACATTGTTTGAAGAAGATTCACAATGTTCTATTGTTTTATAAGACAAACAATTTAATCCATTTAATACAAATCCATCAAAACATAATTTACATTTATTACTATTACTACATGAATAACAATTATCTGGACAACTAAAACAATAAGAATCATAAACATAATAACCATCTAAACATTTACTACAACCTGTTGAATCAATTGTAACACAATTTGTTAATTCAGTTTTTGGTCTACATTCTTTAGAATGATACATAAAATATCCATCATTACATTTTATTGGTAAATCTTCTCTCTCACATAATTCCATTGTTTTTGGACATTTTGGACATGATGTTCCTTTTCTATAATAACCATCATTACAAATAGCACATCCAACTTTACTTAATGTTTGTTGTTTACATGATTTAGAGAATTCTTCATCAGAAATACATTCATAATTACTTAAAATTTTATTAGGATCTGAACAAGACAAACATTGTATTGATGTGTTTAAACAACTTGAACAATTTGAATTACAAGGAAGACAATTTGATTTAAATTCATAATAACCATCAGAACATCTAATACAAATACCTTTTTGATTAATATCACATTTATCTAAATTTTGATATTCTTTTGTTTTTAATGAATTATTTAATAAAAATATTTGAGTTTGACTTTTACATTGACCATCAATTAACCATAACGGTAAATCATTTTGATTATCACACTCAAGACATATAACATTTTCTATTGTTCCATAACATGATAAACATCCTTTTGGGCATTTTGTACATGAAGATGGATTATAATATCCATATTTACATTTTACACATTTAGAATCTTTTATTACTTCACAATATTCATTTGTATTTTTTTCACATTGTTTATTATTTAAAATATATTCATTTGCACAAATATAACATTTCTCATTCGTACACCCTAGACATTCTTTACCATATTCATTATTATTTTTACATTCTCTACATATTCCATTATCATTGTAATATCCTTCATAACAACTTATTGCTCCTGAATTTACTGTTTCATTATTTACATTTATTTTTTCACACAATAAACTCTTATTTAAATAATAACCATTTGAACATATCTCACATTGTTTTGGTTCATTTGTTTTACATACTTCACAATTACTTATTTCACATTTAGAACAATATTGTAAATTATTAACATATTCTCCATTTTTACATAATTTACAATATCCATTTGAATAAAATTTACAATTTATATCTTGATATTTACATATTCCTTTTTCTAATAAATATCCTTCTTCACATTCATAACACTCTTCTTTTGAACATCTTTTACAATGACTATCTAGACAATAAATACATTTTTGATTAATTTCATTTTCTATCATATTACTACTAAGATAATATTTCTCTTGACATTCAATACATCTTCCTGTTATTCCATATGTTAAACAATTATCAACATTTATATTTTCTAAACAACTTCCTTTTATTTCATCTTTTCCACATGAATCACAGATAAATCGTTCATTAATCATTCTTCCTATTCTACATCTTCCGTCAATAGAATATCTTACTTTATTATTTCCTATTAAACTATTATTTGAAATATCAAATCCTCCTTGACTATTCATACTTGCAATAGAATTATCATTTTCAACAGTTATTATAGTTGTATAACTTGTATTAATTCCTATTTGATTATACATTCCAACAATATTAATCTTTCCTTTATTCTTTGTTGTTTTAATACTAACACTTTCTGCATTTCCAGATAAATGAATATTTTGATTACTTATAATATGCATTGTTTTATTTGTATTTATTTTAATAGAAATTATATCATTATTTCCATTTAATTGAATAGTTGGTATGATATTACTTTGGATAGAAGAAATACTTCTAACATTATTAAATATCACGTTTGGGTTAGTAACAATAATATTCCCATCGATCATATCATATTCCTTTTCAGAACTAATACTAATCTCTTTCCATTCACCAAGGTCATAATAACATTCATTCCCTTCACATGGGCATTGGTGATATTTAAAATTACCTAATATCCCATTTTCTATTGAACAAATAATTTTACGTCTATCATCTTTATTATACCCTTCTGGACAAATACGAATTATTTTACCAACAACTAACGAAACATATTTTCCATCACTAGATTCATCTAATGATTTTGATACTTCATTATTAAAACTAACTAGTTCAAAACATTCTGTTTGTTTATTTGATAATACTTTATTCATACTTCCATCACTAATAAATTCACCATCTCCCATAACTATTAATGCCTCTTTATTCATATTTGAAACTATATTATCAATTTGAATAGAATAAGTTCTTAAGGAACTTCCAGCAAATCCAATAATTTTTGTAGTATTACTTAGATATAATACACCACATCTTAAGGACCCTTTTAATTCTATTACTTTAATATTTCTAAAATCACATTCATTTTCAACAATAATAGAATTTCCTTCTAATGTAATACTTTCAATTAATTCACCATTTTCATATGTTTTACCTGAAATACTACTCCAATATTTTTTCGTTAATCCACTATTATAATTATATTCTAATACTAATTTCATTCTATTTTGTCTTCCTTCAGTTAAATATGAACAATCTGATTGTTCAAATTGTGTAGAATCTTTTTGTGTACATTTACATTCTAATGTACTTGCACTATATAAATACCTATTTAAAACTCCTCCACAATTTACTTCTTTTATATTACTATTTGAAAGTACTTTTTTACATTCTGTTGAATTACTACTACATTTTCCAATAAAAAGTACTGGATCTTTAGAAATATCAATAGAATCATATTTAAATAATGTTGCTTGAAAATGACCTAAATTATATAATACATCACTCTTTTCAATATGAACAATTCCTTTAAATATACATGTACCATCAATACTTAAGGATGTGTCTGGTAAATAAACATCATCAAAAAATGTCATTGAAGAATCTTTTGGTATAGTAATTTTACTATCAACACCAGTTGTTATTAATGTAGACCATTCTCTCTCATAAGGAATAAATTCTTGATTTGGTTTTATTTTAAATGATAAATATTTACTTAAAAATGAACAGTCTATTGCTGAATTTTCATATTCAAAATTTGAATATGAACAAGAACAGTCTTGATATGTTACTGGTACATTCTTTCCACAAATAGCCATTCTATGTCTACCATAAGAATAACAAATATCTAACACTTGTAAATCATTATTATCAACTCCTCTATTGATAACATATTGATCTGATGTATACCTATATTGACAATTATTTCTTATTGTTTCATTTGTTAATTTTACTGCAATATGTCCTTCTATAAAAACTCCTGGTGAAAATCCCCATGTATAATTTAAATTAATATATTCTAATGTATTTTCTAATGAAGTTCTAATAGTAAATGGTCTTGATTCTGCTATAATAAAATATGGATAATCTTCATAAGTAATTTCTCTTCCTGTTAAAGTGATAATACTTTTAGGAAGAATATAATAAGTATTAATTACAAAATTAATCCTTGGATGATACTCTTCAATTGTAATATTATGAAATGCCCTTGCATGTGGACTTCCTTTAAAATTAAATCTAATGATTCTATTAGTATTTCTACCATCTTGAATATTATCAATTAAATGAAACTTATTAAGATCTGCTCTAGTCTCATCTTTAGAACAACAAATATTATATATCTCAAAACAATCACTATCATTAAAATAATAAAATAATACTCCATGCCAATTTTTATCTGTATAATCACATAATCCTTTTGTAACACTAATGTATTGAATTAATCCTCTATCATTTGAATCACACCATGTCATTTCTGTTGTTTCTGACCAACAACAGTAAATAAAAATTGATATAATAATAATAACCATTAAATGTTATTTAAAATTAATAGATAATCTTAAAACGCTAAGAAAAGGATTTTTTTTATTCTAAATGAAACATGTTTTTACTTTCTTGCCACAATTTTATAAACTCGAAATTTCTTAAAAATTTCTTTATATAACTCTTGTATCCTCATCATCATATCCACTCTTCTTTTTTATTATTTTTCTTTTTAAATGTACTTTATAAATTTTATTGTCTTGTCTGAAAAGTTTTACTTTTTATTAGAATTTTCTAATTTAAAATAAATAAGTTTAATTATTAAAGAATCAATGGAGTATATGAAGTTACTTCATTTATATCATTTATTGTAACAACACAATACGTTCCTTTATCTTGAATCCACAAAGTTGTTGATTCATTATATAAACCGCATAAATATGGTCGTTGAAAAATTAGACATGAATTGGAATATATAGCAATAATATTTCCAAGTGTTTGTATATATTCAAAAGAAATTGTCCATCCACCGTATTGTTCTTTAACCATAAATTTTAATGTATTAGTTATTCCATTTCTAGATATTGGTTGATGGTTGTAATTATATTCAAAACAACTCCATTTAAAGAACACATTATTTCTTTCGTTTTGATTATGAATAATCATTTCTGTTCTCTTTTGGATTAACATTAAATCTTCAGATTGAGTGTTATCCTTTTCATTTTGTATATTTACTAATAACTGATGTGTTTCATTATAATTGTTTGTTGATACCTCAACCAATCTCTTTAATTCTTCAATGCTATCTTGTTGTTCTATGTATTTATTAAGTTGTTCTTTAAGTTCTTTATTTTCTTCCTTTAACTGTTTATTTTCTTCTTCCATTTCTTCATTTAATTCAACAAGAGTGTTATAGTCTTCTTGTAATTCTTCAAGATTTTTCATTGTTTTAACTAAATTTATTTGGACTGCTGAGCCTGAAATTTGGTTTTTAAGCTCTTTGTTTTCTTCCTCTAACTCTTTAACTCTTTTATAAATTTCATCTTTTCCATTATTTTGATTCTTTTCTAAATAACTAATAATCATAAGCAAATTTTTTACTTTTGTTTTTAAGTCATTAACAATACTGTTGTCTTCAATTTCTTTTTTGGCTCTTGAAAGTTCTTCGTATTTTATTTTCATTTCTTCAAGCAAACGCAATAAATCACTCTCAGTTAATCTTGTCATACTAAATTAAATTATAAGTTTTTTTATCGAACAAAAGAAAAAGAGAGATTTTAAATTTAAATATAATTCATTTTATTATAATCATCACATAGTATGGATTAATCACTGTCGTTACTGGTTGGTGTTGTAGAATCACTTTCACTTTCTTCATTATCCATTTCAATTTCTTCACTTGCTGTTTGGTCTGAATGAAAGAATGCATCTTCTTCGTTAACCTGATTATTATCTTTATTTATTTTTTCTATTTCTTCTTCTTCCATAACATTATTTTTTTCTATTTGACGTAAAACAGAAGTACCAAAGGGTTGTGTCATTTTTAGTGAGTCTTGTTGATTAGGTGTATACTCACTTTCACTACTTGATTTTTGACTATCATTTTCTTCTTTTATTTGATTTTCTAGTAATCGTTTTTCCTTTAATTTTTTTAAGTCTTCAATTTCTTTTTTTCTTTCTTCTTTAAGTTCTTCAAATTTAACTATTTTTAATTCTTTAACCTTTTTTTCTTTTTCTAGTTGAATAAGTTCATCAAGTCCTTTTCTTATTTCTTTTACTTCTTTACGAATGCTTTTCCATTTTTTTGTATTACTCTCATTAGTCTTTGGCTGAGTTAATGACTTCAATCTTTTCTTTTCATTTTGAAGCATCTGGTTTCGTTTAAAAGCAAGTTGTAGCATTATTTTACTTCGTTCCATTTCTTCTTTTAAAGCAATTTTTTCATTATTAATTTTGACAAATGTCTCTTTGTTTTTATACATTTCTTTTTCTTCCTTTTCTGTTTGTTTAATTGATTCCTCTAAATCTTTTTGAAGTTTCATTACTTCTTCAGTGATTTGTTTTTCTATCAATAATACGTTAATTAATTGATTGATATAATATTGTACAGTTCCCTCTTCTTCAATGCAACGTTTTTCAATATCACTTTTATTGAGTAAGTCCAATATTGTTTCTTGCATTTTGATTTTTAGTTTTATAATTAATATTTAGTATAAAATATTATACTTTTAGTAATAATTATTATTAGTAAATTAATGACAAGATTTAATGATAGTTTTAAGTGTATATCAAATTTCAAATCCATTTATCAAATCTAGAAATTAAGATTGTTTCTCATCTTAATAATATTACTCTCTGTTATGTCAATAAATTCAAATCAGAAATATCTTTGTTACCAAGCGGCACCACAACCAGTTAATACAACACCTTATTGCCCATCCTGTTGTAAGTCATATGGAATTATTTTTGCACGACGTGGACAATGTAAATGTTGTCAACGATATTTTTGTTCTAGTTGTATCGATAATAGAACTAGATATTGTTGGATATGTGAGAAACATATTAACTCACAAAAAGGATGTATTGGAGTATTAGGGACATATTTTAATGATGGTAATGATCAAGCAAAAGTACGAGCGTTTAATGAATTTTTAATGTATTGGAGTGATTCATTATATACAATAGAAGATTTGATTAAAGGAGGAATGATCCCAGCACTAATGAATATTTTAAAATTTAAAGAATTTCATTTAACATTATTAGAAATAATAATATTTGCTATTAAAAAAGATATTCACGTAAGAAATATGATTGATGGAAATGCATTTAATGAATTAGCAAAATTTACAGAATATCATAGAAAAATTATGTTTTTATTAGGAAGTATTGTTGTGTCATGTATGAAAGGAAGTAAAGAAGGAGAGTATCAAACTATTGGGGAAGTTATAGAAGTATTTGAAAAAGCACATGAATTTGTTGAAAATGAGAATTACCAATTAAAAGAATATAGAAAAGAATTTACAGAAAGTAAAGAAAATAGAGAAGGAGAATTTATTGAAAGAATATTAACACAATTTGCAAGTGAAGAAATGTTAAAATTATTAAATACATTATATTGTGAATCAGTAGAAGAAAAAAGAATAGTAGAAGTAATGTATAGATTTTTTGCATGTAGCATTGAAAGTACAAAATGTAAAATAAGTGATAATGTATGGAAAGAAACAATTCAAATACTTGATTCACATAATGCACAATCAATTATAATAATATTAATTGCATATTCAAAAACAAATAAAACAATAGCACCATATTTAAATGGTGGACTATTACCTAAATTAGAAATGTTATTAGATAGACAAAATAAAGAAAATACTAATGCAATTGTTGAAATAATTTTATTATTTAAATCATTTCCAACATTATTTTCTCAACTTAGTATTAATGACGATTTTTTAGAAATTGTTTTTAAAACGATTAAACAGGAAGATGATAGTAATTTTACTGCTACAATTATTCTTAAAGATATTGTTGAATCAGGAGATTCTTCTAAATATCATTTATCAGAAATGTTAATTGAAAACCATCCAGATTTAATAGAACTTCTTATTACTAATACTGTTAAACAAAAAAAAGTTATTGGATTAAAATTATGTAAAGTATTATTAAATACATTTGGAGATGAAGCAAGTATTGTTTTATTAAGTAGAGGAATTATTGATGGAATTATTTCTTTATCTAGAATAGATGATGAATTAATGGTAAAATGTTATAAAATACTTAGAATTGCAGCTCAATATCATAGAGAGATTGTTAGTCATTATATTGAAACATCATTTATATGTACTTTATTTGTTAATTTAAAAACAAATCCATTACAATCAATTATTACTATTAATGAATTTATTCAATATGAAAATGTTAAAGATGAAATTATTCATTCATCAGAAAATATTATTATTATTTTAAATTTATTAAAACAAAATGATATTAAAATTCTTCATGAAACTTTAATTCTTTTAAATATTCTTTTTAAAAATCCTATTATCTTTTCTTCTATTTCTATTCCTCTTTTACCTCTTCTTCTTCCTCTTTTTAAAATTCTTCCAATTCAATCATTTGCTATTTTATTACAAGTTATTTCTACAATTATTCCTCATATCACTATTTCTGAAAAAGATGCTTTAACTTTTGTCAATTCTTCTATTTTATTTATTAATCAACAAACTTATGAACCATTACTTCAAAATGTTTATACAACATTTTCTATTGCAGTTAAAGCTTCACCAATTAGAAATATTTTAATTTATGGTAATTCAAATGATATTGAGGCAAATGGATATTTTTCATTTTTAGTATGTTCAGTTAATAAAGAAACTTCATTAACATTAAAAGCTTCTCAATTACAATTTTTTACTCAATTTATTATTAAAGGAGATGATCATTCTAAAATGGCTTTAGATATTTTACAACCTTTATTAGTTCTTATTTCTTCTTCTAAAATGATTAATACTTGTAACTCTTTTATTTTAGAATCATTAAATTATTTATGTGCTGTTCTTTCTTTAGAAAATGAAGAATCTACTACGTTAATTTATAAAAGTAATGTTCTTAAAATTTATTTTGAAATGGCTTTTAATTGGAAAGCAACTCAAATAGATTTAATGAGTCAATTAATTGTTTTAATTATCTCACTTTATAGCCAAGTTAAATCTTTAATTATTGAATATTCTGAAATATCAATTCTTCTTCCTAAATTTTTAACATTCTATGCTCTTCCAATTGAATCAGTAAATAAATGTTTATATTTATTTACCCAATTAAAATTGTTAAATGTACCAGTTAGATTAACTCCTTCTTGTATTCATTTATTACTTCTTACCTTAAAAGATAAAAATGTTAATGAAGCAAAAGATTATCCTAATTATATTTTAACTATTCCCAATGCTACTCAACAACTCCAAGATGAAATTGATTTATTACTTCATTCAAATATTCCTTCTTTACGTTCTCTTGGATTTAAAATTGCTCAAGACTGCTGTAATGAAAAAATGGTTGATGGTTTAATGACATTAACATGGGAATTTATTACTTCTGATGATATGAATAATATTATTAAAACTTTATTTTATTGGAGAAATGAAAAAATTATTCATCAACATCCTTTACTTATTTCAATGATTAAATTTATTAGTGAAAATAAAGATTTGATACATGCAGAAACTGGTGAATTATTGTTTCAATTTCTAACTAATATTCCTTATACTCTTTACCATTCTATTATCCTTAAAAATCATTTTAAATCTATTGACCAATATACTTCACAATTTATTATTTCTCTTCCTCCTTCTTCTTTAAGATTAGATGCAGAATGGTTATTAAATAATATTGCTTCTCATCAAATAGATAATTGGACTATTTCAGTTGCAACTCATTTATTATCTGATTCTTTTATTGAATCCTTCTTAATTGAACAAACTCAATTAGTTCTGCAATTTGTTGATTTATTACCTAACTCTCTTCCTATTTTACTTCACTGTTCATCCCCAGCATTACAACCATTACTTTTACTTACTGTTGATTTTCATGATTTGATTCAACACCAAAGCTCCGCATTACGTCTTCTTGTTCCATCAACTTGGTATTCAAAAGATTTTATAAATGATGCTTTAATAATTTTAAAAAATACAAGAAGTGTTGATGATATTAATAATGTTCTTTATTTTATTAACTCTCTTATTAACCAAAAAGAATTAATTCAACATGACAGAGAATTATTAATGAAAATAACAAAAGAATTTATTGATATCCTTGAAGGGTCAAATGATCAAATAAAAAATATTCAACTAATAGGTAATGTTATTATTAAACTTGTTACTGAATTAAAAGAAATAAGAAATCAATATCAAATGGATACATTATTTGAAGAAGCGGTAAATAAAAATAATTATATGTTATTAGAAATTGTTATTAAATTAATAAAAATGGGAATAAGTTTTACAATTACTTCTCATATTAAATTAATTCAAGAAAAATTAATAGAAATACCTCAGTTAATTGAAATTGTTACAATCTACTTTATTCAAATAAGAAAATTAATTCCTTCTGACTGTATTATAAAAACAATTCAATTATGTGCTAAAAATAAAATAATGAAAAACCAAATTACCATGTTGTTATTAAACTGTGTTCATTGTAATGAATGGAGAACTACCATCTCCCAAATGTTCCAATCTAATATTTTTGTTGGTTTTATAGATGAAACTCCTTTATATACCACTATTCAATCAATGTTGTGAAATTGAATTTTTTTGTACCTTTTTTATTTATTTCACAAACTAATTTAATATAATTGAACTACAACAATTCTTCCGACGTCAAAAGAATTTCCTCCCATTGCCGTACAACAATTTAATGTTCCCCTAATATCAACAAACTCATCACTTAAAGTTGAATAACACAAAGAAAATCCTACTTTTAATGAACTCTCTCTATTTCCATAGATAAAGAAAAACGGTTTATTGCTAAAATCAATTTGACTTGTTGCTGTTAAAATTAATTCAAGAGGACATAACCCTTGTGCCTTGCATCGAACAAACTTTTTTGATACATTTAATTCTCCATTACATTTTAGTGAAAATGGGAAACTATCTTCTTTGAGTATATTTTTTCCAATAACCTTTATTTTATCTTTAATAAATATTCCAGCTATATGACTTTTTAAATTAGTTTGATAAATAAATAATAAATTTTCTTTATTGAGAATTAATCTATTAAAACTTGAAACTTCATGTTCATCTGGATCATATTCAATTGTAGAATCAAAAACTAATCTGCATTGATTTAACTTGGTCCATTTATAAAAGAACGGGATTGATTCTTTGATATATTTTAAATCTCCCTCAAAGTCTTTATCTTCATGAATACAAACTTCTTTTGTAAGAATTTCTGTATTAGCTCTTTCTTTCAGCCCTTCACCTATTGAACTAATTGATTCACTTGGTTGTATAACTTCAGATTTCTTTTGCATAGAATTAGTTTGATTAGAAGGAATATTTATAATTTGGTTGGTTGTTGGAATGGTATCTATTTTATTTGCAAACAATGAACAAGAAGTTTCTAAATTAATTTGAGATGGTGAATTTAATAGTGCTAATTTATCCCTATTACCTTTTTGTTCTATTGGATATGATTGAATCTCTTCAAATTTTTGTATATTTTGATTAGAAGTATCTTGAGATTGTGTCAATGATAAAAATTTAGTGCTTTTTTTTATTGTTGATGACTTGCTTATATTTATTTGACTTAACAAATTAAAAACAATTTCATTTAATAGTTTGCCAGTGACTATCTCATTTACTCCAACATTAATTCCACAGATAGATATCTCTTGATTCATTAAAGTATTAATTGTGAGTTCTTTTATTTTTTGATAAAAAATATTTCAATAATAATACAATTTTATTTTTTACATTAAAAAGAATTTTATGTTAAAAAACAAAAAAATTTTTTTTTGATAAACCCTTTTTGTAAAAAGAAGAACATATAAATCATAAATAATAATATGACCTGTTCAGATGGAATACTATCTCTAATCACCTCTTATTTTTCAGTAGAAGATTTATACACCTTTGCCTTTATCAATAAGAAATGTAACTCAATATTAAACAATCGTAAAACAAATATTAATTGTGGAGGTGCTACAACAAAGAAAGAATTTCTATACTCCCACATGCTGATGTATACTGGAGAGTTATACTCTATTGTATTTCATTATGCGTTTCAAAGAAGATGACAAATTATCTGAAGATGAATTCTGGAAGAATGTTGAAACTCGTTGGAAAGAACAATCAACCAAATTCAAATTCTTTAATATCACTTGTTTTTCTGGTGTTGATGCACATACAGTTCCATTATTAAAAATTATTGCTCCAAAGATTATTTCATTATCAATTCATACAGAAATTCTTCCTTGTGGTTTATGTATTGAATTACTTGGAGCTCTTCATGAAATGAAACATTTAAACCAAATTAGAATTGATGGTGTTACATTAACAGCACTGTATAATTCAACTACAATCATTGATTTATCTTTCAACTCTATTATTCTTGACTCAATTAATATGAAAAGAGATAGTGCTGCTTTAATGTCATTATCAAAACAATTCTTAAAGTCACATGGAATTATTCATATAGATAATTGTAGAGACAATAACGATGTAGAAATTATCAAGAAAATTCTTCCTAATTTCAAAATTGGTGTTGATTATACAGCAGATAAATCTGTCTTTAAATTGATAGCATCAAAAAAACTTATTACTATCCCTTGTTATCATTCTCCATTTGCTTTTCCAGTACCTGAAGAACTATCAAGTGAAGTTATAGATCAAGTTAATAAAATTAATGATTTGTATCTTCCTACCATACAACAATCATTACCTGAGAAATTGTTTGATGCTTATGGATTAATTGTAATCGGAAGATTACCTGCTCCAATAGTTTCAGATCATTTAGCATTTTTAAGATATAATAATATTCAACCTGAGATAGTTCCACTTGATTTAAGTTTAATTACTACATTAACTCGACTTGAATTAAGAATGAATAAACCTAGAACTGAAATTATTAAACTCCCTCATTCATTAAGAATTTTAGACTTAGAAATACAAGATAACCTTGATGGATTTTGTACTGTAGATGGTAAAAAAGGTATTAAAGAATTAACTCAATTAACTCATTTAGAAGCAAAATTCTCTGATACCCAATCTTTAACACTCCCTACATCACTTGTTTCATGTTCATTGTCAATGTGTCCTTGCTTAAAGACTATTGGATTAGAAGGAGTTAATTCACTTACTAGACTTGAAGTTCAGGCATGTGAATCTTTAGGAGATATGAAACTTCCAAGTTCTATAAAACTTGCATTATTCCAAATGTGCCCAAAAATTCATTCATTAGAAGTACCATCTTGTTTAAAGAGTTTACAACATGTCTTTGACCCAACAATAAAATTAAGTTACTTTTAATTTTTATTGATAACACAAAAACAAGTTTAATAATTTGTGTCTTTTCCTTTTCAAAATAGATGATGTTGTGATTTTAGTGAATTAAAAAAAATAAAAAACTGAATAAGTTCAAGGAGTTATTTTTGAATCTTGTTATTATTTTTTACTTGATTGAATCATTCCATCTAAGTTATCATTAAAAATAAGAACCCTATAACTTAATATTAGAAAGAAAGATTAAAAATTAGAAAAAAATTGAAAAGGAAGCAAAGATGAAGGAGTTAATAATGGAAAAGAACGATTGGAAAGGAAAAGAATCCAAGAACTAGAAATCAAATTGAAGGGAATGGATAAGGAGAGAAGTCTTAAGCCTTATTGGTATCCAATGGCTGATGGAGAACAAAATGAGATTCTTCCATCACTTCATAAGAATGTGTTACGTCCAGGTGTAACAACTAAAGCATTAGACTATATTGTAAAGTTAATTTGTTTTACTGTTATCTATTTTGTATTAAGAATGATGTACAGATTAATCTATTTTGGAATGAAACAAACGAGTGTTAATCCAGAATTTCAAAATTATATATCAGTAGCAATAGTTATAGGACTTTTTATTATTGGAATATGGATATGGTATTTAAGAAGACCATATCCAGTTTATTTAGTTTCATTTGCTACATCAATTCCTGAAGATAAATACAAAGTTACAAATGAAGAATTTACTAAAATTATTGAAGGAACTGGATCATTTGAAAAAGAGCAATTAGATTTCCAAAAAAAATTAATTTCACGTACAGGTCTTGGTGAAGAAACATATTTACCTGAGGCACTTCATAGAATTCCTATTACTGTTTCAATGGCAGATGCAAGAGAAGAAGTTAATATTGTAATGAAATTAGCATGTGATCAATTATTTGAACAAACTAAGATTGATCCAACTAAAGATATTGATATAGTTATTACTAATTGTTCATTATTTAATCCAACACCATCAATGTCAGCAATGTTAATTAATATGTATAAATTAAAAACTACTGTTAAAAATTATACATTATCAGGTATGGGATGTTCAGCTGGTTTAGTATCAATTGATTTAGCTAAAGATTTGTTACAAACATATCCAAATGTTAATATTCTTGTCTTCTCTACTGAAAATTTAACAAAGAATTATTATCCAGGTAAGGTTAAAGGAATGTTAATATCAAACACATTATTTAGAATGGGAGGTGCTGCTATATTATTATCTAATAAAAGAAGTTGGAGAAATAAAGCTAAATTTGAATGTGTTGATACACAACGTATTCATCATGGTAAATATGATGACTCATATAATGCTGTATTCCAATATGAAGATGAAGAAGGAATTGTAGGAGTAAAAATTGGTAGAGAATTATTAAAGTGTGTTACAAGAGCATTAACACAAAACCTTAATTTGTTAATGCCACGAGTTATTTCATATAAAGAAATGATCAAATTTATTATTTTCTTTATTAAACAAAAATTAGGAAAAATTGATTCCAAAGAAGTTTTTATGCCAAATTTCAGAGAAACATTCCAAGCATTTTGTATTCATGCAGGTGGAAGAGCTATTGTTGATGGGCTCCAAGAAAATTTAAAATTAACTGATGAAGATTGTATGCCATCAAGAGCTACTTTATATAGATTTGGTAATACATCATCTTCATCTGTATGGTATGAAATGAAATTTATTGAAAGAATTGATACATTAAAGAAAGGTGATAAAGTTTGGCAACTTGCATTTGGTTCTGGATTGAAATGCAATTCAGTCGTTTGGAGAAAGTTGAATTAAAAAAAAGATATTTTAAGGGATTGTTTTATTTTTTTTTCACACTCATTTTTTATTGATTAAGGTATTTGTTAAGTTGTGTTTCTTTCATAATTATATTAAATAATAGAGTTACTAAATGAGATAAATAAATTATTTTATTTGTCGTGATAAATAAAGAACTAAAATAATATAATTATTTATTTATTCTTTCATTTTCTTTCATTTTTTTAATTGATTCAATTTAAAAATAAAAAATATAATAAAAAATATCCCATTCAGATTTGACAAAAATCTTTAATTATTATCAAACATTCAGTCAATATTCATATTTCTAAATATTTTATTATTTTTTTTTAATTTAATATCTTATTTAATAAATATCTTTACATAAGTTATGGTTGAAACTTTTGTTCATTAAAATCAAATAATATATTAATGTTTTTTTAAAAAGTGTATTAAAGTTTTAAAAATGTATATTTGGTGAAAACGAATGAAATTGAAAACGTAAGGGGTATGAATTATGGAGTTAAATAGATTCAAAACAAAAAAGTGATAGTAATAATTTTGAAAATTCATTAATATTTTATAATATTCAATTTTGTATAATGAATTAAAGAAACTAAATGAAACTGTGAATAATATGGAAACTGTAATATGAATCAAAGACACAAAGAAAAGTTTCAGGCATTTAGAAATTATCAAACACAACAACAAACTTTTCTTCTTGCATTATTAAATAAAAGTTGTAGTATTACAATATCTAAACCCTTTAAAACAAGCAAGGTATGTCTTCAATTCTTTAAAATTGAAACATTAAAATTTTCAGACACTGACATTATTCAATTTGAATCATTTGTTAGTCAAAGATGTAAACAACGAGAAAAATTTGATATGAAAAATGGAATTAGTGAAAAAACTGCCAGAAGAAGAAGTGAAAGTAATAAAAGGATAATTTCATTAGGTTTAATGAAAGATATTTTAACTGAGCGTGGAGCTATCTTTGAAACAGAAAGAACATCTGGAAAGAATGGGGCATTAGTAATAGAAACAATAGATTCTGTAAGTATTGATGGAAAACAATTTAGTAAACCAGATATTGAAAGAATTTCACAAACAATATATACATTATTAATAAGAAGAATGAAACTATGTTCTTTTTTAATATTAACTAAAAATGATGATGAAATTCAACAAAAACTACAATAAATTTAAAGAGTGTTATATTTGAATGAACTCTTTTATTTTCTTTTTAACTATTAAATAGATAAAGAAGAATTTATTTTAAAGAGAAGGTTTCTGAATTATTTATTATAATATCATTTAAATGTATTATTAAAAGAGGTGTTGATATATTTTATTATTTTATTAAAATTTAAATGTAATTGATTGATTTAAATACTTATTAAAAAGATTTACTTATTCTAATTGAATTTATTTAAAAAGTTAATAAGACGTAAAGATCCAGAAGACAAATACTAATAAGAGAATGTCAAAACATAAAAGAGCAATATTACCAATTACTCTAATAGACTTTTTATTTGACTTTCTTGAAAATAAGAAGGAAAGGATAAAAAGTGGTGGCATAAAAATTCCTAATATAGCAAAGATAGTAGTTAAACGTGCATACTTTTTTTCCTTTAGATTTTCTGATTGATCAAAATCATTAACAATACTAGGTTCTTCATATTGTGTTGGTGCAATAAATTGGTTTTGATTATAATTTGGTTGTGGAGTATATGAAACTGGAATAGTAGTTTCTTGATTCATAGGGGTTGACAGAATTAAATAAGGAGGTAAAGATTGAACACCCATAGTATTGGAAGGTACTTGGTTATTTATTTGAACTTCATTTTGTGGTTGTTCTGTGATATACTGTGTAGCATATTGATTTTGAGGGGCATAAGTTTTAGTAAAATAAGTTTGTTGAGATTGTTCAATAGGAATAGTTCCAGGTTCTTGAGAAATAAGATTTTGACTAAAATTTTGAGCTGCTGGTGGATTGTAATTAGGTGCTTGTGAATTAGAATAGTATTCAGCTCTTTGGCTTGTAACTAATGAATTATCATCTTGAAGTGTTGTCATTTGTAAGTGATTATAGAATCTTTTTAGTTTTTTTTTTAAGATTTTCTATCTTCTTGACGTTTCCATTCTTCAATAAACACTTTTTTGTGGTATATTACATTAAAACAAAATAAAAATGTTATTTCGTTTCCAAATTTCTCAGTAACTAACTTTTACTACGGCAAAAAAAAGATTTATAAACATAAACAAAAAAAGAAATAAATTTTATACAATAATAAATTAAATATCCCAAAGAACCATTCTCACATAAAATCAATTAAATATCAATACAAACATAGCGTAAAAATGATAAAAATGTCTAATTGGTATAAATCGGATGGAAATATTGGTTGTGGTGTTGAGTGTTAACTGGTTCATTAAAAGGAGAAGAAGGGTTGGTGGGGGAATTAAATTCAGAATTAGAAAAGTTAATAATAGAATATTCAAGAGTACTTTCGACAGGGGTAAAAGCAGATAAAGAATTTCTTCTTTTCTTCCCATTTTCAAGAACACCTAATAATTTCTTGTCAGATAAACTAGACTTTATAAATGAAAGGTCTTGAGATGGGTTTTGTTGTTGCGCTTTTTGGAGTTTTAGGAAGTATTTTTGAGCATGACTTCGTATTTGTACAACAGTTTTAGTTTTGACATGTTGTTCTATTCTTTTCCAATCACGATGGTACAAAGACAAACCCTCTAAGAAAAGGGCGTGTTCTTCATCTGTCCAAACTTCTCTTTTTTTCGTGATTGTATATTGTTTTCTTTGTTTTCTTTGAGGAGAAATTGAACTTGATCTTTCGTGGGGATGTGTTGGTGATAAATGATGTAATCCATTACCTTCACTACTACTCTCTCCTGAAATGTATGCACCAAAACTAGACATCCTTTTTCTTTTTCTCAATTTTTTTTAAGTTCTTCTTTTTTATCTTTTTATAATTCAGATTTCTTCAAAGATAAAAATGAGGTGGCAAACAAATCTTATATTTGAAGTAGATTAAAACCATTTTTTTTAACAAAAAAAAATACTATTTTAAGTTGTACTTTATGAAAGAAGATTTTTTAAATTATATAATAATTAAAAAACTAAATTGACCATTTAACTTCTTTTAATGTTTTAATTCATTTCATTTTCTTAATTATCTTTTTTTCTAAGGTTCTTTTATATTGTCATTAAAGTTAGTAACTAAAATTATTCTTATAGAATACTTTATTCATTCTTTAACGTGCAATTAAAACCCTCTTTTAATAAAACTTATTTGTTAATGGAATTTGACATGCATCATATTCATTAATCCCATAATGGTATCATCATTTTATTTTAGTAAATTTATAATAAAATTGTTTTTTTTTATTTATAACTAACACTTGTTTTGTGTTTAGAATAATAGATATTTTATTTTGTTTATTATTACATCACCTCTTTCTTTGAGAAATATATAACTTCATTAATTTTAGTAATACCAATTATAATACAACAAATAAAATTCAATGAAATTTATCTCCTACTTATTTCATCTTATTAGAAATTAAAAAAAAAAACAATGTACTATTATTTTTTGTGGGGTATAAAAATGTTTAAATTATGATAAATAAAAAACAATAGTTTTTAAATCAATAAAACAATAATCAACAATCAACTAACTAACAATTAAATGAATTAAATATATTATTATAAGTTAGATTAAATAATAAATTAAATTAATAAAAATAATTAAAAAATATTAAATTAGTTTTTTTTTATTTATGATATTTTGTATAACAAAATTATAAAAAAAACAAATGAATTAAATTAATTTATAAGAAAGAATAATAGTATTGAAATTAATCATAATGATAAAGTATCATTTTATTTTTTAGCCCATTTTGAATTTATATCATTTGGAGTATAAAATGAAAAGATAGGGTCATATGAATGAACAATACTTCCAGTTATTTCTGATGTTAAATCCTTTTTTTCTTTGATAATAAATTCATTAGGAATATCTATTCCTAAATCAAATTCATCAACAATTTCACATTTATTAAAACTTTTATTTTCTTTATTTATTTCTTGACTTTCAGCAACACTTTCTTTTTCTTTATGTTCTTCATAATTAATAAGTTTTTCGTTGTGAGTGATAGTATCGTCTTCTGTTTCTTGTTTAATATCATCAATATTCACTTTTGGAATTATTAATGAATTTAATAAATCTACTCCAACAGTATTTTCTTCATTTTTTCCAAAAGTATCTTTAATGTATTTCATAACACTTCCTCCAATAGTAAAAATATCTTCTTTTCTTATTTTAATTCCATTGCCAATAACTTGTGAAAATTTCTTTAATTTTACAGTATATTTTGTTGATCTTGTTCCTCGTTGTTCTATAGTAAATCCTAACTGTTCTACAAATTCTATAGTTCGATTACATGCAATTGTTACTTTGTTCCTTTCATAATGCCGTTGTATTTGATCTGAGGGTTGTTCTTTTTCTTCTCTATTACGTGCAAAACTTGCTTCTTCTTCAACCTTTTGTTGAAAAGGAATAATCTCTTCAGTTTTACAATTTTTTAATGAAACAATGGGATAATTTTGAATTGTCTTCTTTGCACTCTTATCTAATCGTTTTACTCGTACTTCAAATCCACTTTTAACAAGTAAGTATATCATAACTCCTTGTTGATACGCTTCAATAGATTTAGATAACTGTTTTTGTTCAACAAGAGACAATGGTTTTGTGTTTTTAAACATTGTGTTTTTTTTTATTTTTTTATTTTTGTTTTTTATTTTTTTATTTTCTTTAAATAAATATAATGCCAAAAACATATCAATTTTCCCTTTCTTCCTTAAGCCTCACTGGTAGCTTTATTGATTGTAAAACCTGTGATATTGACAACAAGAGTTAACCATGATAACATAGTAAAGAATAACATAATTGGGAAAACAGCTAATGGTCTTCTAGTCAATTTAATAGCACTTTGAAGGAATCCAAATGATGCTAAAACAATATTAAGTATCTCAACAAAGTGTATTTAAAAGAAAGAAAAACAAACCCATGCATGACCAGATATCACAAAGAACCATAACTGGAATTCCAACATAAATAGAAAGTGGTGACCAACAAATTGTTGCAACAGTTGTGATAATAGCACCAATGAAAATTGGGAAAACACAATATCCAACAATACAGATACTTTGAGGAATAGTTAAATGACCACCAAGGAATTTAGTATTTAATGAAATAACTATTGACCCCAACCAGAAACAAATAAAAACAATGGAGAAGATATAAGAACTATATTGATCATCTTTACCACTATTTCCTTTACGAACCATAACATTAATGGAAAGTAATAAAGAAAGAATATAACATACGAACATTGGTCCCCATAAATCCCAATCTTTAATAACTTTTTCTGTTTTAGTACAGAAAACAACAACATGGAATAACTTTGTTCCTACTTGCTTAATTTCTCTCCACTACATTTTATTACTTTTCTATCTCTTTCTTTTAATTTTAAAAACAATATAATACAATCTTTAACACAAACAAACTAAAGTACTAAGAACTGGTTCATCAAGAGTAGTATCAACTGGTTCATCACCTTTAACTGATGTAGAGTCTACTGATTGTACAGATGGTTGACTTGGATATTCCTGAAATTCAGACATCTTTCTCACTCGTTTGATTTTTGAGATTTTTTTTTCCTTTTTCTTTTTATATTTCCTATCTTTTTTTTATGAATATTTTTTTGTTGTTTATGACGGTTTTATTTCAGAATAACAAAATCAAGTTTCAATTACAATCTTCTGTTAAATACCATATGATATTGTTGACGTGGGTACATTTGAAGATATTTTTTGTTTTGTGAAGACAGAAGAAAGTGAGGATCATAAGATGAAATAAAACACTGTGAGACAATTTTTAATAGTACTTTGTTTTGTTTATTTCTTTTATATCTCATTCTTCGTATATTAATTTTAAGAAATTGTTTTCATATTAATATTATTTCAGAAGATAAAATTTTAAAAAATAAATTTAAAAAAATTTTGATTGATTCATTTGTAATGGCTTTTACAAAACCAAGTTACTCATTAGTTAAAGGAACAGAAAAACAGTACACAATTACAACAACAATAAACTCTGATTATTTAATAAATGTTTCAATAACTCAATATTCAGACACACAAACAATGCTCATTTGCTTAAGTGATTGTGGGTGTTTTAGTCAATGGGTTGTTTGTACACAAACATCAACCGAACTTCGATTTGGAAAAAGTAATTCCCAAAACCCATTCCCTACTGCTTTGTCTCGTCAATTGTTTTTATTACTAGGAGGTGTTGAAACATTAATTGTTGCTATTGGTATTCGTAATCCCTCTCCGGAAAAATTAAAGTTAATAGTTTCATCCATTCAACAAGTCTTATCATCTGCCTTGCATGATATATCTCAACAGCTCCCCCACCTCAATTAAATAACATTTTTTAAAATTATGTTATTCATAAAGAATAATAATGAACTAATAAGAATTATAATAAAACCATTATTTAAAAAACCCATTAACGAACTGAAAAGGTTGCAACCCTAAAAGTCAGAAGATGGTTGTGGTTCCAAAGACTAGGAAAACTTATTGCCCAAGATGCGATAAACATACTCCACATAAGGTTTCTCAATATAAGAAAGGAAAGGATTCACTTCACGTCCAAGGTAAAAGAAGATATGATCGTAAACAACAAGGTTTTGGAGGTCAAACCAAGCCAGTTTTCAAGAAGAAGGCTAAAACCACTAAGAAAGTTGTCTTAAAGATCGAATGTACTAAATGCAAGTATAAGCTTCAAAAATGCTTAAAGAGATGCAAACACTTCGAACTTGGAAATGAAAAGAAAGACAAATAAATGATTCGATTTTTTTGTGTTTTTTTCTCTTAATTTTTTTTGTATTTTATGTAACTTCTTTTTAATGATAGTTGTTATATTTATATTGGTCGAAAATGTATTAAGTTATTTTCTTTTCTTTAAGAATTGATATCATGAAAAGATTGTTTTCTTTTAAGAGAAGATTTTGAATTAGTTAAGTTACTTTTTTGTTTTTGTTATAAATAGTATGAGAAACATTTTTCGTTTCAAAAAGTCTATTTTAAATATTCTCAAGAAACAGAGAAGGGAAAGAAAAAGTGACACTGAAAGTATTAAATAAAAGTTGTATTAATCCTTCAGGATAACATAAAGTTCTATTAATCTGTTAAGACAACGAAAAGAGCATGAATCACACCTGGGACCCAACAAAGAATAGTTAAGATGATATTCAAACATAAACTGAATCCACAGTCTGCTTTAATTAATACAGCTAAAGGTGGGAAAATAAAAGCAAGAATTACTAATAATATGCATGAAACACAACCCATTTCTAAGAACCTATTGATTTTATAGTTTGACCAATTAATCTTAGATATTAAAAATTAAGTAAAGAGCCATGGAAAAAAATGATACATTTTGTTATTTATAGCTAAAATAATAGAATAAATAATATGGAAAAACAGTAATAAAAAATAGTAAATGACAAAACAACAGAATTATTTTCTATTCTTTTAATTTGGAGAGACATTTGTTTATGCTCTTTCGTATTAATTGAGAGAAGTCATCGAGGTTAATGTTTTTCTTCACTACTAATTTTTAAGAAACATATGACTCTTATTTATAATTCAATTGATTTATTGGTATTCTTCCATAAGATGATAAATTATATAATTTATTTTTATAATATTAACATATTAATTGAAGGTTATGTTTATATCATACTTATAGAAGTAAAAGAGAAATAGAAAAATTTACATTTTATTCTATACAATTGAAGAATTTAAATAACATAAAAGAAGAGCAAGAAAAGACAAAAATTAACGAAAAAGAAATTTTTATTAAAATGCTAAATGTATATTAATTAAGGATAGTAATAATTTATTTTGAAAGATACAAAGGAAAAGAAAAAAGTTTAAAAAAGAATCCAAGAATATTTCTGTATGAAAATTATAAAATATAGAATTAAATTTATTAATAATAGTTTATAAATATATTATTCATATCTCTTATTTGGAATACTTAATAATAGAATAAAATAATATATTACCATTTTGTGTATTCATTATGAGAAGGAAAATATAGATAGAATTTACATCGAGGAAAGAATTTATTTTTTATTTTAATTCTTTAAAATTTGGAGAAATAATTTTAATCTAAGAATCTATTTTAAATGAAAATACACAACAAGATAAGGATACATAAACCAGAAAAAAAATAAAAAAATACTATGATGATATTAATCATTTTATTAATACAATCTGTTTTATCTGGGTTTTGTACAGGAAAGAAAAATGGTTTTTATTGCACTGATCATATAAATTTTGTTTGGTGTTATGGAACTGATAGTGGCTCGGCTTTGGCTTGTGCTAGTGGAACAAATTGTAAGTGTGGGTATAGTACTTTTAATCCATGTGGATATAGTTTCCAAACAATGACAGATTGTACAGGAACACCAGGAGGTGTTGACGAATCACCAAGTCAGTCTTCAGAAGAACCACCAACAAATGATGGTTATTGTTGATTTCATTTAATCTTAGAAAAGAAATAAAATAGAGAAAGAGACAAGTTAAAAAACAGTTTTAAATTATAATTTTGTTTTTTATGAGAAATAATGGAAAAATAGTGGAAAAAAAACGAAACAAAGAGAAAGAAATGGAAGAAGAAAACAGGAACTTTGGAAGAAAGAATTTGAGAGAGATAGAAAAAACTGATAATTGAATTGAATGAAATTTGCGCAGAAATTCAATGAAGGGATGACAGTAGAGTGGGAAGACCAATATGTTGACTATAATCTATTATGTAGGAAGCTTAATTCAATACAAACTCTAAAAAACCAATTAGGAGATATGCAACATGAAGTTGAGGATATTGTCATTGAAATGAGTGATGAGTCTAATAGCGGTAAAGAAGATAATTCAACAGAACCACAAAGTCCAGGTGGACAATTTTGTGAAGAGGGAGGAGAAGGAGATTATACATTATTAACAACTAAAATTGCTACAGAAGAACAAAATTTTTGGAAAGAATTTGATTTTAATATAGAAAAGATTGATGTTTTCTATTGTGATAGATTAAAAGAGTCATGTAGGTTTATTAATGATTTTTATGACCGTCTAATGGCATTTGGACTTGTTGATCCAAAACAACATAAAAAAGAAAAATTCCAACCAATTTATAAACAATTAGTAGCTCATGAAAAAAAAGGAATTAAAAAGGTATTAAAATATAATAATGGGGATTTAGAGATTTCTAGAGAAAATAAAAGAAATCAAAGAAAAAGTTTAAAAATTGCTGCTAGTATGTTTCAAGAAACAGAAGAAGTTGGAGGTTCATTAGATGTAATTGATTTAGCAGCATCAACACTAAAACATTCAAGGTCTAGAAGAGGAACTATTTCAAGAGAAGGATCTAATAGCTCAGATTCAAAAAAGAAAGGAAGTTCTACTATTAGTAGTGAAGAAGATAGTACAGATTCTACTGTAAAAACTAATGAAGGAAGTGAAGAAGGAGATAAAAGTGATAATAATGAAGGTGTTTATGAAGAAGATTTTTTAGATTTAGAAAAAGAACATAGTGAAATATCAAGAAGAAAAAGAAATAAATTAAGAACAGCAGCAGAAGAATATTATAGAGGATTATTATTAATGCAAAATTTTTGTTCATTAAATAATGAAGCAATTATTAAAATATTAAAAAAAAGTGATAAAATAACTGGATATGAAAGAATGGAAACAATTAAGGATGAAATTCTTGAAAGTACTAAGTTTTATAAAATGGTTGAACTTAAAATTCTTATAGAAGAAACTGAGAAATTATTTCAAGACGCTTTTCATGAAACAAATAGATTAAATCAATTTAAAATTAATTCACAAGATATTAATCCAATGAGATATTGGAGAATTGGAGTATTATTTGGTGGTACAATTTATGTTATAATATTACTTATTATAAAAATAATTAGTTATTATACAAGTATTAAACAATCAGATGATCAATTATTAAATACATTATCTATTAAAAAACTTACAGAAAAAGAAATTCTTTCAATAATTAATATGACAAGAGCATTTTTATTATTTTCTTTATTACAAATTTATTGGGGTATTGACATGTATATTTACCGTAGAGTAAGAATTAATTATCCATTTATTTTTGATATGCAAAAAAGAAAATACAATTATATTCATGCAATAGAATCAGGAATTACACAAATATTATTAACAACTACATGTTTATATTGTATGATGATTTGTTTATCACCACCTTATGGATTTGAATTTTTAAATAATATTCCTTATTGGATTTTTCCATTAATTAATGTATTAATATTAACTATCGTATTTATTATAAAACAAATTAGACATTCTTGGGTTATTAAAGTTATCTTTAGAATTATCAGTGCTCCTTGGAAAAAAGTTTATTTTAAAGACTTTTGGATGGCTGATCAAATGACTTCTATTTCACCATTTTTTAGTGATTATATCTTTTGTATAACTTTCTTTATTGTAGGGTGGATTACTAATAATGATTCAGACTCTGAATTTGGTGGTGTAAAAATGTTAGATTATACTAAATTTATTAACCCAATTTTTGCATGTATTCCTCCAATGTTTCGTTTTCTTCAATGTTTTCGTTCAGCAAGAGATTCTGGAAATATGTATCAATTAGCTAATGCTGGAAAATATTTTGTTTCTATTTGTAATGGAATTGGTGGAGGAATACGTTCTTTATATAAAACAGTAACAGTACCAATTTATATTTTTCTTAATTTATGTAATTCAATTTATTCAGGTACTTGGGATATTTTAATGGATTGGGGGTTGATGAGAAAAAAGTATAATTTCCTTAGAAAGAAAACTTTGTATTATAAATGGATTTATCCTATCGCAATTGCTGTTGATATTACTCTTCGTTTTGGCTGGACTATTAATATCATTTTATTATATGTTGCTTGGTTTGATGAAAATAAAATTGTTCGAGAATGTATTGTTGTTATTATTAGTATTATTGAAGTAACTAGAAGAGGAATTTGGAATGTTTTTAGAGTTGAATTTGAAATGACTAATAATATGGATAAGTTTAGAGCTACAAAAGAAATTCCATTACCAGTGCCTGATTAAAAACGGTATAATAAAATGTATTATTTCAAATATTACCGTTTCAATTATTACATTGCTATAATTAAAATATCAATTTTATCAAAATATTTTTATTTTTCTTTAAAATATTTAGAGTTAAAACTCTTTTTAATTCTATTAATTCTTTCATTTTTCTCAAAACAAAAAATAAAATAAAAAGTATCGTTTTTTTTGCAGTTATTAATAGAGTGTGAATAAATGTTAAGTGAAATAAAAAGTAACTAATACTCACAACAAAATGGATAAAACGTTTGTTTTATTAAAGTAATAAAACAAACAAGAACATTTTAATCATTCTGAATATATAATTAATTTTATAATAAAAAATATATATTTAATAATTAATTATTAAAGTAATCAAAATAATAAAAGGAAAATAAAAGAATAAAAGAGTTAATTATAATTCATTTTCAAAAGAATAAAATTAATACCATTTTAATTTTTTGAATACAATTTGTTGTAAAACTAAAACTATTAAACAAATTACCATTACTAAAAAGAAATAACGAGAATCTCTTTCATCAACTAAATCTGTTTGCCAAGGTACACGTATATTACAACCAAATGTATTAACAACAAAAGTAATTGGAAAGAATATTAAAGAAATAAAATTGAAAACCTGAATATATTTACTAGTTTCTCTATCAGTACGAGTAGATTCTATTGTTAGTCGAACATTATATAGTCCAAAACTAAAAGTATTTAATTCTTTAATAATTTTAAAACGTTGATAAACACTTCCAAAATCATAATAAGCATCTCTAAGCATAACTTCAAAGCTATCTTTAATCATTTTAAAAGTATTTTTATGACTTGAACGAATAAGAAATTTTAACATAGTTCTAAAAATAAGAATTAGATAAAAAGGATCTAAATAAAAATAGAACAAACTTTTTAGATTGTAAACAACTCAGAATTGTATCAATTTTCTTTTCTAAAATATCACTTCTTGCAATAAAACCTAATTGTTCTTTTTTTAAAACATGAAATTGCATATTTTGTTGTATTTCAGTTTCATCATTAATAATTCTAACCCAATCAGCAAATTGCATAATAGATTGATGAAGAATTTCAAATAAAACAAGTTCAGGATTACATTCTTTAGGATTAACGTTTTGAACTTTAACAATATCAAATACTCTATCATGTTTTTGATGAAAAGTAATAATAATTTTCTTTTTAATAGTAATTCTAGTATTTTTAATTTTTAACAAATCAGTTAAAGGTTGATATTCAACATTTTTTATTAATATTTCATAATATTGTGGATATATTAATACAGCCTCTCTTTGATCTTCATCTAACCATCTTTGTAATGATAAAAAATGTAAATGAAATAATAATCCTATTGCAACCATTACTTCTTTACTTGGATTTGAAATATCTATCCAAAGAAAATGATTTTCTATTTTACTATTTGAGTTTTTACATTGAATACAATAATTTTTTAATTGTTGAATATTCCAAACCGTTTTATTTATACGTTCTCCAATAACATTTATTTGATCATTTGAATTCCAAATACTTTCATTATTTCCAATTTCAATAACTTTTTCACATGGTGGGAAATAATCATTTAATTCTTCATCAATTTTATTATTATTTATATTTTTATTTGTTTTAATTCTTTCATTTATTTTACTTGTTAAATCTGGTGTATTTAATCTCATTTGATCAAATTTTTTTTGTTGTTGTCTAAGAAATTTGTTTATTTCATCTTCTTTTCCTTTGTAGTTATGAACATTCATTGGAATATTGATTTTCCTTTTTTCATTTATCCCTTCATTTTTGTTATTCATAACATTATTTATTATTATTCCTCCTATCGGTTCTTCTTTTTCAATTTTATTATGTTCTTCAATTATATCCATTTTCATTTTATTTATTTCATTTTGTATCGCAATCCTTTTCTTTTTTTTCTTTTTTTGTATCTCATCTTCACTTGATGATGACGATGTACTTTCATCATCACCTCCTTCTTCTTCTGAATCAATGTCATCTTCAATTAATCGGTGTTTCTTTCTTGGAGTTGGAGTGTGGATAGGTATTTTTTTTTCTTCATTAAGAAGAAGAAAATTATCTTTTTTTTCTAAAGACATTTTATTTGATTTTAAGTTTTGTTTTGTTTTTTTTTAAAGAGTGAAAAAAAATTCTTTTGAAACTTTTTTATATCATTATTTTTTATTAATACTTAATTCTATTAGTTTTATATATTATTTTCTTTAAATTAGAAGTGCAAAGTATTAATTTTTTTAATAATCCAACATACTTTAACAAAATGATATTTATTTCTTATATGTAAATAAAGTGATATTTATTACTAACAATTTTTTTGTTTATTTCCTCAATATTCTCCTTAGTTTTATTATTTATTAAGAAAGTATCTTAAAGAAATAAAATATCTTAATTTTCCTTAATATAGTTCTTCTGTTAATTTAAAAATAATTCTTAATAATTAATTTTAATTTCTTTTAATAATTTTAATTTATTGTAAATAAATAATCAATGATTTCTTATTTAATTGGTCATAATTCTTTTTTTTTGAGTAGACAAAAAATTTATTTTGAGTACTTTTTAAAAGAGATTTATTTATATTAATAATATCAAAATTCATTAAGAAGAAGTAGGTTGTTAGTTTTCATTTTCTATATAAATATTTTTTATAGTTTCTTCTCAATTTATTATTGAAGCGTGAATTTATTTTACAATAAATTCACAACAAAAAAATTAAAATAATACTAAATGAAATATACAAATAAAATCATTCATACTGTTTTTTGTAAAAGTTTTTATTTATTTTTTAATTTCAAAAAAAAAAAAGAAAGACAAAAGAAGTTGAATTAAATGTACAGAAAGGATTAAAAATATGATTTTTTTTATGTAAGTACATAAAATTTAAGCATTCATATTAACAACAGCCATTCTTGGTTGATCTTTTATGGCTTTTTCATAAGAAAAGCCACTTGAAACAAAAGCATTCCATAATGCATAAGTTGGTATTTCCCTATATAATGAATTTGTTCTATCTAATAAATCCCTTACAAATAATCTATTACTTTTAGAATCTTTAATACCTAATTTCAATTGAAATTCATACAGTTGAATAATAAATCCTGGATTAGGACATATAATTTCTCTTCTTTCTTTAGTATAAAGATATGCATCTCTAATACACCAATCATTACTTTTCATTAAAAAGGCAATAACCGCAGAAGCTGAACGTGACATACCAACTTCACAATGAACTAATACTTTTCTACCTTCTTTCATCATTTCTTCAATAAATTCAATAGATTCTTCTAAACTCTTTTGTAATAAAAAGAAAAAGCTATCTTGAATATGAAGGTGTTTAGAAATAACACCATCAGGGTAATTAATGTTATTAGTAGTTAATGATAAAACAGCACTAATATCATATTCTCTATAAATATTAGGTTTCATAGCAGTAATTCTAGATGTTAAGAATAAATTAGGTAATATTTCTGAAACCTTTTGAACTTCTTTTTGGATTTCGTTTCGAGATGGTCTTGAAGGTTTGTTTCCCATTATTATCAATCAAGATTAGATCTTTTCATTTTATGCTTTCCATTTATTTTAATTCTTATTTTTTATTTTTATTTTACGGGTTTTTGTTTTGATTTACTCATTTTTCTTTTCATATTTTCTTTTTGAAAAGTAATTATAGCTCATTATTAATTTTTTTATAGTTTTTCTTTAGTTATTCTAAAAGATGCAATTTTCGAATCTTAGGTTTTTTCTGGTTAATGTTCCATTTTTCTCTTTCATCTTAGATTATTTGTTTTTAAGTTTTTTATTCAATTTTTGAACCTTCTAATTTATTAATTTTTCTAGTTTTTTATTATTTAATATATTATTAAATAAAAAATTTGAAAAGTGATTGACTTATGATAATTCTTTTTCAAAATACACTTTTTGCATCTTTTTCTAAAGTTGTGAATAATTCTAATAAACTGTTTTATAAAACACAAAGAAAACTAATAAATCAAAATAAAAAATGAAAAATTAAAAAAGAATAAAAAAAAATATTTTTTTATTTAAAAGATATTCAAAAACGAAAATGAAACGAAGGAAAAGTGAAAATTAAGAAATGATAAATTATATTAAAATAATAGTAAATTATATTAAAAAAAAATGAAAAAGAGAACTAAGAATATAAGAAAGTGGTGATGAATATTGATCAAATTGAAGAACAAGATGGAGTTAGATTAACATGGAATGTTTGGCCATCTACCAAAGGAGAGGCACAAAAATATCTTGATATTCCATTAGGACTTGTTTATCAACCATTACATGGAAATATTTCAACAAACAATCAATTAGAATTAAATCAAAGTTATAGAATTCAATGTCAATGTGGTTGTTATATTAATCCATGGTGTTCAAGAGACACTTCTATTTGGGTATGTCCAATTTGTAATTCAAGATACCCACTACCACCAGATTCAAGAACATATTCATCTACTACTATTGAATATGTCTCACTTCAACACACCCCTCAAGACACCTCTTTGTTATTTGTTATTGATACTACTGCACCACAAAATGAATTAGATGCCCTAAAAACAACAATAACTTTAGCATTAGCCTCTGTACCATCAAATGTATTTGTTGGTTTAATTGTTTATGGTAAACATATTTCAGTTTATGATATGTCTTCACAACAATGTCCACGTGCTTATGTTCTTTCTGGTTCTAAATCATATACAGCAGTTCAATTAACATCAATTTTATCTACTAAAGTTATTAATCAATTACTTGCTCCATTAAGTGAATGTGAATTGACATTTATGTCAATTTTAGATGATTTAACTCATGATGAATGGCCTGTGAGTGAAGGTCATAGACCATTAAGATGTAATGGATCTGTTATAAGTGTTGCTAGTTCATTACTTGAAAGTCGTAATGTATGTGGAACAATAGAATTCTTTATTACAGGGCCATGTACTTTTGGACCAGGAATGATTGTATCAGATGATCTTAAAGAACAAATGAGAACACATGCTGATATTACTCAGGAAAGAGTAAAATATCTTTTAAATGCTGAAACGTATTATAAAGAAATTGCCAGTAGATTAAATGAAAAGAGTATCAGTTGTAATATTTTTGCATGTTCTATGGATCAAATTGGAATATTAGAAATGTCTAGTTTATGTCAAATGACTAATGGATATATTACTATGTATGAATCTTATATACATGAAACTTTATCTGAAACATTACAACGAATGTTACAAGGAGAGGATACTTTAAATAATAAATATTGTTATAGTATTGAAGTATACTGTAGTAAGGAAATTAAACCACGTTCATGTATTGGACATGTTTCAACAAGTGAAAGTAAAGAAAGATATTCTTCATTATTATCATTACCAGAAGAATTTGGTGTACCAGGAAATAAATTTAAAACATCAACAGTTGATCCACATTCATCATTTGTATTTTTATTTGATATAGTTAATCCTGATACTAATCCATTAGACTCAAATCGTCAAGGTGTTATTCAACTTGTTAGTAAGTATATGGATACTCTTGGAAGAAGATATATTAGAGTTACTACAATCTGTAGGTTATTCACATCTATTAGTTCAGAAGGGCTTAATAGAATGTCTGCTGGATTTGATCAAGAAACAGCTGCTGTTGTCATGGCAAGATGTGCTAGTTTTAAAGCTGATGCAGAAAGTGGAAGAGATGCTATGAGGTGGTTAGATAGAGCATTACTAAGAACATGTAATAAATTTGGAGAATTTAGAAAAGATGATCCAAGTTCGTTTAATTTAAATTCTAACTTTTCTATATTACCACAATTTATGTATCATTTAAGAAGAAGTCACTTCTTACAAGTTTTTAATTGTTCGCCAGATGAAACAAGAACATTTAGAACTGCACTAATGAGAGAAAATGTTATTAATTCACTTACAATGATTCAACCAACATTAGATTGTTATAAAGTTGGACAAGAGGCGAAACCAGTATTACTATCCATGCAGTCAGTAGAATCTGATTCAATTTTATTACTTGATACTTTCTTCTATATTGTCGTTTTTAGAGGAGAGGCTGTCGCTGATTGGATGAAACAGAAATTAGAGGAACAACCTGAGTATGCTGGTTTAAAAGAGTTTTATAAAAAACCAGAAGAAGATGCGAAAGAAATTGCAAAAGAGCGTATTCCATCTCCTAGAATATATGTTTGTAATAGATACTCTGGTCATCAAAGATTTTTAATGACTATTCTCGATCCTGCTGTTACTCCTGGTCAAAACCAAAAAGACATTATCGTCACTGAAGATGTCACTTTGAAAGTGTTTATGGAACACCTTAGAAGACTTTCAGTCAAAGGAAATATTTAATCAATTTTTTTTTTGATTAATTTTTTTTATATATTATTAAAAATTATGCCTTGTTATTTAATGATAAATAGAAGTATATAAAATTATGACATTTCCAAAACATATGATAATATTAATCATCAATAGGTTAAACATTGTTTAATTTACTTTAACATCCCATTAGTTGTAATTAAAAGTATATTATATATATTAAATAACACACAATTATATTTATATTATATTCAATAAAATGTTGGTATAATTAATATAGAAAGAGGAATAATACAAGGTGATAGTTTATCTCCATTATTATTTGTATTATCTATTGATATATTATCTAAATAATTAGATAAACAAATTAATAAGTTATCTATTAAAATGAATGGAGAAGAAAAACAAGTATAATTAAACCACATATTATATATTGACGATTTAAAGATAATAACTAACAGCCTCGAAGAAATGGAAAAAGCCCATAAATTAACAAATGAAATATTTAATAGAATATGATTAAAAATAAATATAGAAAAGAGTTTGGTAATGAATAATATCAATGGTCAGATAAATGGAGAATCAACAGAATTACCAAGAGTAACTAATGATAACCCTTATAAATATCTTGGTATTGAAATAAGAGATAAAATAAATATTAATAAATATTATACAAGAATATTACATGATGTATCTTCTATTCTATCATCATTAAATATTATGAAATATACCAGTCTCAATACAATTAGAAAGATTAATAATGATATAATCTCAAAATTAAGATATTGATTCTGTATTATCAAATGGAAACTTAGTGAGTTTGAGAATATAGATAAACAAATAAGAAAATCATTGATACAACTTCAACTATACAGTAGAAACATCCCTAAAAGTAGATTATATGTTACAATAAATGAATTAGGAATGGGATTAATGTCAGCACGAGATGAATGATGTAAAGAAATAATAAGAATATATTTAAAATATAAATGGAGATCAAACACAGAAATAGGAGAAATGATAGAAACAGTAAAAGAGAATCAAATTGAATAATTAAAAGAATGAAGAGAGTATTTGGTAAGAAGATTAATTTCAATGAATTAATGAATATAATACAGTTAAACGAAATAAAACATGATGTAAACAAAGTATTTGAATTTGTAACAAATAAAATAAATGAAAGATATTTAAATGAATTGAAAGAAATGAAGTGAATATATAAGAAATGTAAATTATATATTTAATATTATGAAATTAACAGTAACCACATGGAGGTCATTAAATATAAAAAGAAATGTATTCCTCCAAGTAGTAAAAATGCAAGAACGAGTAACTATGAGAGGAAATATTAAATCTAAAATACTTCATATTGATATATTAAAATATTGTAAACATTGTCCTAACACAATTCCATCTATTAATCATATTTTGTTAGGATGTCATGTAATGAAGAAGAATCAAATATTAAAACACGATTATGTATGTAAACAAATATATAAACATATATTAATTACCTATTTTAATGAATTTGATGAAATAGATTTTATGCTCCAAATAAGTGTATTGTAGTGAGGTAAATTGGTTGTACAATTACACATTAGAGGCTATGAACTCTTTTAGAAGACTTTCATAGATTGTTCTATATTTATTAATAACACATAATTATTGTCTTTTGAATTTCTTACTAATAGGTTTCTTGTTCTTTATTTTATATTTTCTGACGATATTTTTTAAAATTTCTTTTGTAAAAATTATTCAATTGATTAGTTTTGTTGTGATACTTTTTTCTTTTTTATTTACTTTTCTTCCTAGTTTATTCTTTGTTCTATCTTTTTATTTTCTTTTATTTATATATTCATTATTCCTTACTTATTTCTTATTTTATTCTTATTATTATTTTATATTTCTGTTATCTCATTATTATATTCTTTCTTGTTCTTATTTATTTTCATTTTATTAGATATTTTGTGTTTTGTTGGTTATTTGTATACTTTATTCATTACATTTCTTATTTCTCATATCTTTTTCATTTTTAATACGTATGATATTTCAAATATATTAAATATGGATAAATGAAATAGATGAAATTAAATTAGTATATAGTGTATTCATTTTTATTATAAGATCATCAAAAGTTTGTTATTTATTTTATATTGATTATTTTTTATTTCTATTTATCATTTTATTATATCATATCTGTCACTTCTAATTTCAATTAAAATATCAAATAATTATTTAAATTATATTATCAAATATCCATTTCATATTGAATTCATAATTCATAAATAAGAAGTATTTAAATATCAAATTCAATTTATACATTTCGTTCATTGTTGAATATTCTAACAAAATAATCTCTATTAAAATTCTATATGATAATATACATTGAAACAGCATATAATCAAGAAGAAAGTGTAGAAGTTAAAAATACAATTAAGAAGTCATTTTGTGAATGTAATAATAAAGAGAATATTTATAAAAATTTTCATTATTTTATTCTTTTGTACATTCTTGAGATATTAATACTGATTTATTGTTCTATTTGGTACCTATGGTGCAATAATATGATAAGGTATTAGTTTTAATAAAATTGTATAAATTAGTTATTAGAAAAATAATAATATAAAATAAACAGACATTTTGAGAGTAGATAATTATAATTTCAAGAGATATGAAATATAAAATGAATGAGGAGATGAAAATTCTATTTTCTTTGACTTATCAGAAATATGTGCAGTAAATGAACAAATATGAACAATGAGAACACATCGTTGAACTTCTTTTATTAGTTCAGGAATGAGAATATGTTTCATTAAATATAAAAAAATAATTCAGTTGTAACAAATCATTTTCTCTAGTACATTAAACAAATATTACCAATCAATAAATTGTTGATAATTTAATGCTTCATCAATAATACTTATTTGTTTCTTGCGTCAACATATTGGATAAATCCATTTTCATAATTATTTATTAAAAATTATAGATTTAAGTATGATAATTTCTTAATTCCTCAATCTGTGTTTATTTTTTTCTTTTGTTTAATAATATTCGTGTTCTTTCAATATGTTCTTCTTCATCTTTCTCAGATTCTTCTATTATTTTGTTCATTTGATTCTTTATTATTCTAGTGTTTTAATTGTTTCTTGACTTTTTTCTATTATTAGTTTTCTTCTTCTTTCTGTTTCATCAATCCTATCAATTATTCCTTCTCCTCTTTTAATAGCTTCTGAATATGTTTCATCTGGTTTTATTTCAAATATTTCATTTTTAATACTTCCTATATAATAATGATAATGTTTATTAATATCATCATTGATTGTTGAATATTTGGAAGTGTTTCTATTTCTTCTTTAAAGAAATGAGAGTTCTTGTTTATTAACTCTTCCATTTTAATTTAATTAATATCAGATTAAAATTAGATGATTAAATAATTAAATACACGTTTATAACACATCATTTTATTTATTATTTTATCATTCTATTAACCAATATTTAGTAAATACTGAGGACATGAGATTAACAAAAGAACTGAAAATTGAAATTAGAAACATAAAAGAAGTCATGAAATATTTTCTTTGTTACAAGAACCAAACACACTCTGTAGAACTACTAGACATTATTAATGTGATTTAATTAGTCTCACCTGAGTCAAGAACATAAAAACCAATTCTATCAGTACTTAATTAATTTTTTTATTGTTGCTAAGAAATAACCATTTAAATGTTTTTTTCAAAATAACAAAAAAATATTTTAATAAATGAAAATATCAAATTCAGTAAACCAGTAATTCTATTACTGAGAAGCAAAAAACATAGATTTAATCGATCCAAATAATGACCTTTTTAAAGGGTGTTTTTCGTAATACCTCTCAGCCAAATAACCATAAACTGATGACAAGCAAACATTTAGTAGAAGTTGAGTACATATTCCATGGGTAAGAAGTGATGGAGAAAAACCAGTGGAATAGTTGTGAATAGAACGAACAAGAAGAACATCAAATGGGTATGAAAGAAGTGTTCCAACCATTGATGAAATAGCATTAGTTTTTATCAAACTATTTGAAGAGAAGTATTTAGTGTTTTGTAGTTTAAGAGAAGTGAATGAGTGTGATGTAGAATATGTAATATTTCTTAATATATTCCAGTATAATGGAATTATAGGAATATTAAGTGGTCGAGGAATGGCATATTTAATATCTTTTATATTAATATCAGAGCAACAACGAGTTCGATTAATTATTTCAAGATAAGTAAAAGGGAATGACGTTATCGTTGAAAGTGAAGTAACTGCAAGTTGTTTACAAAGAGAAATTTTGTGAGTTTGTTTTTCTTTTTCAGTTAATAAGAGTCTGATCGCTAGTTGTTCACTTATAGTTAATGGAACTGCGTTTATAATAGAACAAGGAAGGGATTTAAACAAAGAATTCTTTCTTGCAAGGAAAGACATATTACTCCAAGTTGATAATCCATTAATTTGTGAGCATGTCAAAGCAGCTTGAAATGGAGTTGTAAGTGGTTTTTCGATTATAAATTGGGTTAAAGTACCACCGATATGACTGAGGTAGTGTGAAAACATCAAAAAGAATAGAAAGATTAAGTTCATAATTTCATGAAACTACAAGAATATAATAAAGTTATTAAAAAACTAACTAAAATTGATAATAATAACAAAATAATATTATTGATGTTTAAATAATATAAATCTTAGTTCTAAAACATTGTTGAGATATACCATATTAGTGCATTTAATTTCACTTAATGGAACGTTATTTGATTCATTTAAATAGTTAGTGTACAATGTATGTAAGTGATTTGATTGTAAGCCAACTTTGAATTGAATTTCAGGAGAAACAGCATTAAAATAATTCATTAAAATACCATAAGATGGTGAAATAAAATCATTAATTTCAAAGGAAAATAATGAAGGAAAAGGAGAGTTAGTCCAATCAATATCGTTTGTGTTTAATTGGTGATTAAGTGTACCTTGAATGATTTCGATTTGAGTTGAAGGTTGTAGTGTTAATCTTGTGTGTTTCATGAATGAACGAAATAAATGAAAGAAGACAAGACCTCCTTTAATTTTCTCTGGAGTTATTTTCTTGATGGCATTAGTGTATTGTTTAATAAATTTCAAGACATCAACACTTGATTTAGAAGCATTAGCAATTGAAGACAATAACGTCATTAAAGAAAACCATTGAGATAAATACATACTATAGAGTTTATTTTGTGAGCAATGATTGACTGATTCTAATAACTCTTTTGATAATGCTAAAGCAACTAACTCACTACGAGCAAGACTACCTACTCTTGATTTGATTTGAGATAATGACACAAGCAATCTAATATCATTATTATCACCAATCTTATTTATTTCCTTTTCTAGCTCTTCATCTTTACATTGAATTAAATCTACTTCAGTATAGAGAGAATTAGCATGAATTGATAATGGTTTATAAATTAAATCATCAAGAAAATCACCACAAATAATAGTAGAAGAATCTAACTTTTTTATTGGTAGAATGGTATGAAGATAATATTGAAGAAGTAACTCTGGAGAGAGGACAACATCATCGATGTCAGTTACCAGTTGTTTTCCAAATACATTGTTTAATGAAATAATGATGATTGTTAAAGGCAAAGATAGTTGTAACACTATTTTAACAAAACATGTTCCAACTCTTCTTCCATAAAACGAAGGTGTTTCATAATATTCTGAGTGAATAATTTTAAATGGTGAGGACACTGAGATTTCATTAGTAGAATAAATATTATCAAAAGGAAATGAAGAAGGTTTACCATGAATGTAAATGTTGATTTTCTTCTTTGACTTATCCTCAATGAATTTGTTTGGTGTTCTCATGTCATATAAACAAATATTATATTCATTTATTTGTGATGGTTGTTGTAATTGTATATGTTTGATAGTTCTAAAGAAATTCATTTTATCTTTAAACTTTTTTTAAGTTCTGTTTTTTATTAAAAATACAATTTTAACACATCAAAAGAAAATATGATGGTATCTTTTCATTGTTATTGTCACAATGAGTATTTGTTTTGTATTTACATTAATGCTACTTATAAATAAGAATGTTTTTATGAAAAATGTATTTGTCATGAAAGACAAAAATAATTTAGTATAACTATTAAATGAAAGAGTATTATCTATTCTATCAAGAATAAAGTGAGTTTGATTTTATTATAAAAATTGATAAGAATAAATCATCAATATAAATGAATTTATCAAAATTAATTAAACAATTGAAAAATTGAAATAACATTATTTTTAGGATTTTTGTCAAAAAAAAAAGCTATAAAAAACTATAAACAAAATTAATAATAAATAAAAAATAATTACCCATAATTTCTAATAATAATAAGAAAGATTAGATAAATTAATAAAAAGAAAAAGAATATTGGGATCCACTTCGGTGGAAATCCCATAAAATTGGAACAATACAGAGAAGATTAGCATGGCCCCTGCGCAAGGATGACACGCTCATACGAGAAGTTAAAAAGTTTTTTTTTGCTATTTTGATAACTTGTGTTGATTAAAAAGAAATAAAAATGTTCTTCAAAGAAGTTGAATTGAAAAAAAATCTAAAAACTTGAAAAAATAAAACTAAGAAAGTCAATGTTTAGTTGGTTTTTCCGTAAAAGTACTCCAGTTGAATTAAGAACTGCATTTGTTGATGATCACACATGGGTTGCCGAATTGAATTCTGGTGATCAACTTCAAACAGTTAAAGAGTTGTTTGCATCTACATTTGATTCAGACAATTTTGTTGTTATTGATGAAGATAAGTCAGTTACTGCTTTGTTGAGTGGAGATGAAAGATATCAATGCACATTAACATTTGGATATAATGGAGATAATAGAAGAATTGCAGTAATTTCATACATTGATTCAGAAGATGAAGATATTGTTAAACCAACGATCAACGCTTTTGCATTAGAGATGGAGAATTATTCATTACTATTTGAACAACCAATTAAAGAACAAAAACCAATTGAAAACTGTATGGTTCCAATGAAAGAAGTTATCTATGAAAGAGATATTATTATTGACGAAGATGGAAGTTCAATAAGTGTAATGTTAAGAGAGAATGTTGACCTTAAGAAGATGCTAAGTAAAATTGGAAAATTGGCTAAAGACAAATATCTTCTTGAAGCTAAAACTGGTAATGGTAAATTAGAGTTCTGTGAAAAAGGAAATGAAACGTTTAAAATTATTGTCCAAATTGGTAGAAATAATGACAAACAACGTGTTATGGCATTAACCGCAAGTGAGAAGAGAGTATATTGGAAAGAATTCTCTGAAGCAATTGTTAGTTTGTTAATGAAAGGAAAGTGTCTTAGCAGTTATGCCGTCACTGCTACACTAAGAAAGAACTTACGTAATACTGCTAAGCCTGTTACTAATGTCACTGAAGATAAACAACCAAAAGAAGAAAAGAAAGAAGAAGTCCATATTAATATTGAAACTACTCCTAAAGAAGAAAAGAAAGAAGAGGTAAAAGAAGAAAAGAAAGAAGAAGTAAAAGAAGAAAAGAAAGAAGAAGTGTCAAATC